AAACATTTACACAAGGAAATACATTTCAGTGAGAGCTTTGGGTCAACGGGATACGTAGCTAACCAGTTAGTCCAGGATTACCACAGACTAGTCATTAATCAAGAGCTGGGCGATCTCCCTGAAAACCTCTTTCCGTGTGCCAGGTTCTGTCGAGCTGCCTTTAAATTCTTTCTTCGGCCTAAAGAGAGTAACGTGTGGACCTCGTCGACCGACCAGGGCCTTTTGGGGCTTTCTGTGCGATTCCATTTCCCTGGAGTGAGGAGGACGTGTTATAGCCTAATATAGATCCATGGCAGAGCAGCCGGTTTTAAAGATGGCGGGGTTGAGTTGTTTTTACCAAAGGGTCGGACTTCGCTTCCAGTGACGACACTCGTTGACCAATCAGTGTAAGGCAGTGGGCCGACGTGATTATATGGTGTCGCTTCGGCACACTTGGAACCACTGTCGAGGTGGTACGAAAACAGTACCCTTATCCCAACCCCAACCCTAGTGGAAATGCAAAATAAATGCGCCGTGCCGTCCCGTACCATACCGTTACTGTGGAAAAGCGGCATAAGTTCCTCTTACTGTTTAAGCGACACACAGTGGGAGGGGCCTCTCCCACCTGTGATGTCACCAACCTAGGTTTGTCGCAGTATGAGTGTGGGTGATGATCACTCAGATGAACCATCGCAAAAGCTTTTTTCCTGCACAGGATAGCTGTCTTCCATCAGATGTCCCTCGGCATTCTTTAAAGCTGCACTAACTGACTTTATTTTTGTATTCATTACAAAAATGCTATCCATGTCCATGTAGTGCATTGGGATATACATCATTTTGAAGAAAAAGTAGCGCAGATTTGTGCTGGCGTGACATTATATTTTAGATCGAGTTTTGATGAAACAAGGAAGAGAATGTGTTTCGGGTCGCAGATTGTGACCAATCACAGCGGACCACTGGCCCCCACTTTCAGGAGCTAACCTGAAACTTCCTCATCTTCGTCACCGGTTACTGCTTACTCAGCGAGACAGCCAGTGGCGGCTGGTGGAATTTTCTACTGGGGGGGCTATGAATATGATGACTAGATATATACCAGCAGTAAGTAAGTTTACACTGACTGTTGTGACTGAAGCCTCACACGAGAATGAAATATTTATCTTCCCAAACATAGCTAATTTGAGGGCATTTTGCATGTGGATACCAGTCTGCTCATGCTTCTTTGCCTTTTCTAAAAAGTGCTTCAGATCAGTCATACCTGTCTTGATCCATGCTGGGTCAGATCCTGATGTTTGAAACAAGAGGCATGGAAAGCAAAATAAAGCATTAGCCTCGCTACATGCTGCTAGCCAAGATTTGGCGCTGAACCAGGTCCTGGAAAAAGTACGAGTGTACCGTCTCCCCTGTCGCTGGACTGCTGACTAATGGTAATATTTGGCTGATCAGGTCCAAGCTCTTTAACCTCAACCTTCTCCTGGTATGATCTTCTCTCAAACGGTATTGTTTTGAGTGATCTAACTGAATTATTCTTTTTCTCGTTCTCCATTTTGCGTCTCTTTACGTTCGTCTCAAACTCCCACAGCTTGACCTGTCAATCACTGTAAACGGACGTCACAGACAGTGACAGTACAGGTCGCGGGCGATCCCGCCCCCTCAGGGCGCACTTCTCCTGCGCCCCCAAATCGTCTTATCTCTTGCATTGAAGAGGAGCTACTGCGCATGTACAACTTTTAACGAGAGTCCATAGACGGCTCAGGGCGCAATCTTTTGCGCCCTGAGGCGGAAATACCTCCTCAGTCCGACACAGACAACGCTGATGAGCTTAATCAATCCAACTCAGCATAAACTATAAAGTATTTCTTCCACATCTGAAATAAAACACACATAAATTTCGAAATATTTTAATGTTATTATTTTTTTAACGTTTTATTCAACGTAACATGGCAAGTTGTGAGTGGTGGGGCGGCGCCCTAGCGCCCTCTATTGGCCGGCCGCCACTGGAGACAGCCATCCAAAAGAAAGTCCTGTTCCTCCACGCTTCCCGGTTCTATCGTTCTATGGTCACGCCATCCACGCTCAAATCCATATCCATGTATTATCCATATTGGAAGACGCTGGCTCCGTCCCAACAGTGGGTGTGTGTGGGGGCGATGGCTTCGTGGGTGCGGGGAGGGGAGCAGAAAGAGAGAGGCCAGCGAGTCCGCGGCTTCAAAATCCCAAAGTCAGTTAGTACAGCTTTAAAAAGCCAAAATATCCCCACACTTCAGACTTTGTCCTCTTTGAAGGCTGATAAATGTCCTAAGGGCTGTTGTCTCCTCCTTTGGTCATGATTCAAGCATGAAAGTGCACCCGTGTGGCCACTTCAGCAGACTCACACTGCAAAAAGTAAATTCTAAGCAAGTAAAAAAAATCTTGAAATAAGAAAAAAAACCTTGTTTTTTGTATAATAGGCTCTATGCACGCACCACTTCCGGGTTTTAGCTACAACCCCATCTCACTTCCTGTTCGCGGGAAACTGCTTGAGTTTCAGTGGAGTTCAGCAGTGGTTTACACGAGTTTCCCAAATAATGCTCAAACGGGAATTAAACTGTGTGGACACTGGGCATTTTTGGGACACAACAGTGCTCTTTGAGTGTGCTGTCATTGTGTTTTTATAAAGTTTAAAAATCGCTCTGAGTGGCCTCAGTCAAAGCTCTACCTCAGAGAGAAAGCACAGCGACACTTTTGGGTCAGTCTCACAGTTGAATGTATCAATCTAATTACCAAAAAACATGACTAAAACTCTCCTAAATGCCATAAGATAGCATAGGCAGGAAGTGAACGGGTAACCTGGCAAGAGCCAGATTGATGATTGTGTAGAACTCTAATGCATTCTCCACAATATCAATCTGGGACTTCTGCAGGAGAATCCTTTCTGGGAAAGGAGGGATAAGCAGCAGAATACTTCAAGCTGATTGGACGAAGTGACGCTGTGTGCCCGCCTACCAAGGTTTGACTTAAACCAATCCCAGTAACATTATGTCGTCATCGGCGTAGGTAAAAATGGACAAACATCTTTGCCGTCCAGAAATGCACAAAGCGCCTCTCGCTGTTCATCTTTCAAAAAAGAAATTGGAGATTCTGCTAAAACTGACTTGATAGCCTCAGCTACGCGTCCGTCCTCCTGCGTAGCCATGTTTGTTTTGCTTCGGCCCGGCACTTCTTGCTTTCGTCAAACCCGGATATCCCGCCCTAAACCCCCAGACTGGCGTGTGATTGGCTTGAACACCTAGATGTTCGACTCGAAAAGGGTTGGCGGGAGCGGGGCCAGATGTATTCTCGAGTGTTTGTGAACTCACAAATATCGCGAGAATTCAGCTTGCAGGCAAAGTTAGTGAACGGGCTGATCTGCGTTAGGAAATGACATCACGCCTCCCCGTGCATATAGCCCATAAGAAAAATTATCTTGTCTAGAAAGATTTCCTTGAGAATAAAATACTTATTTTAAGAAATAAATTCTAGCTTTTTCTTATTAAGAAAAATGTGCTTTAAAAAGTAATATTTGGACCCGAAACAAGCAACAATGACTTATTTCAAGAAAAAATAAGAAAACAAGAAATCTTTCAAATAAGAAAAATATATTATTCAATTGAATTCAATGTAGTTTCACTTCAATGTATTTGTGTATCGTCCAAAACCACAGCAGCAGTTGCCTGGGAGGATTTAACACAGTTGTCGATTCACCAGATCATAGAATCATACAGGTCGCACACAGGAAATGCAATAATAACAAACACATGGAGCCATATAAGGAGCAGGACGACCACTGTCCAGAAATGTTAATAAATGTCTTTAAATGTCCCAGATCATCACTGTTCTTAGACCCTCCTGCATCAGAGGAACCACAGAAACCCACTTGTGACACTGACACAATACAACATTATTGGCCAACCTCATGCGCATGATGCACGTCTCCAACATCATATTTAATAGGCACATATGTTACATCTTTGTACAAAACTGTGATATGGAGTATAGTCCACAATAGCATCTGAAGAGATATTGTTTTGGTATTGAGCTGACTGAGCTCCTCACCCCCTCCCTCCTGTTCCTGCTGCTGTGGGCGTGGCTGTGGGCGTGGCTGTGGGCGTGGCTGTGTCTGCTCCCTGTTCCTGGCTGTCCTGCACACCTGCCCCTCATCTCTAATCATATCTGTATTTAAGCCTGGGCATTTCCTCAGTCCTCTGCTAGGTCCTCAGTCTACATCGTGAGACAACACCTCAGGCCTTTTGCTATTTTTGATAAGTTTTTGATGCCCTCGTCTGATCTCATGTTTTGTGCTGCTCTCATTCTTGTGCCAGTTGCAGCCACTTCACTCCTGCTCCAGCTCCTACTCCTGTTCCAGTTCCAGCCCACCCTACCAGCTCAACCTTCCTTACTGTTAATAAACCCTGTTAACCTGTCCTTTGCATTTGGGTTCACTTCTTTGATCATAACATATGTATTGCTTATATTATTTTGCTTATTAGGCCAATTTTGCTTAAAACCAGTCTACAAATGGAAAAAGGCTGCTAAAAAGAGCAGAAAACAAGCAAATATATCCTTAATTAAACATTTAAGCATTATTTCCTACAAGTATCCAGTAATAAGAATATTTTGCTTAAATCTGACCTTTTCATTGAAAGAAAATTGCTGAAATCATGAAATATATTCTTGTTTTTTTCCCATTATACATTAGGAAAAAAATCTTAAAACAAGAATTCTAGACAAGGAAAAAAGTCTTACCCCATTGGCAGAATTATTTGCTTAAAAGCAAAATTGTCGTATTTTGTGTTTTTTGTTTTTGTTTCTAAGGGACTTGTTGCAGTGCAGAGACACAGGAAGGCTCACAGTGCCGTACATCGCGGGCTCTGTAATTCTCCGAGATATTTCTTTTTAAATTAAGACTATTACCGGGGTTTACTGCTATATCGCTAATTGTGACATCCCTACACCAGCCCCTCCCACATGCAAGACCACTGACTATATGTGTGTGTGTGTTACAGATGGTGCGCCGCATGCTGCAGAATCCTCGTGTATCGGAACTTGACGCCGTGCGCCTCGTCATGTTGTACGCACTACGCTATGAGCGTCACGCCAACAACATCCTGCCGGCCCTGAAGGGGGAGCTAGAAAGAAGAGGGACCAGTGAGCATCTGAAGCAGGTCTGTCTTGAAGGGGGAGCAAGAGAGAATCCTCTGTCACCATCACTCACTCATTACATGAATGTGTTTAGTGGTAAGGGTTAGATAAGGGTTCTCCCCTTATCTCTGCAGATAAGGGGAGAACATGCAAACTCCACTCAGAAGGACGCCATTTGGAGGAGGAATCGAACCCAGGACCTTCTTACTGTGTAGCATAAGTACTAACCACAGTCTCACTTTCCGCTGTTACAGATGGTTTCTCGTGTGGTGGAGTTCGGTGGGAAACGGGTCAGAGGAAGTGACCTCATCACTGCCACAGACGCCGTTGCCATCACTAAACAGTTCTTCAAAGGACTCAAGGTGAGGACTACATGTACTCCTACAAGTACCACGAGTACCGCACTACAAGTACCACGGGTACTCCACTACATGTACCACAAGTACTGCACTACAGGTACTACACTATGAGTAATACAAGCACACGGTACAAGGACATGGAGAGGGACAATGCAATTCGTCGCCTCAGCTTGAACCTTGAAAAAACGCATTTGCGCATGTGTTAGCCAGCACTAGCCCCATTCCTTTAACGAGTGCACTCAAAAGTCCTCAGAGGCTAAACTAGACTGGTCCAAAAAAATATATCGTAAATTATTTTGGACCAGTCTAGTTTAGTCGCTGTGAAATTTTGAAGGCACTTATTAGATGAATGAGGCTCGTAACAGCTGACGCATGCGCAGATGCGTTTTTTCACATTTTCCACCCCCAGCAGTCATTTTGAAACTGCCCATTGACCACGGAAGTTGTGGCACATTAGTTAAAACGACGGAGATAGGGGTGACAACGTCCTTTAATATTTACAGTCTATGGCTGGGACCGACCCTCAATGGTCAAACCAGTCTGCAGCCCTCTCCACTGACATCCCAGCCCCTTCAGCAGAACCCCTGTTACCCCTGTTTTATTTCTGGTCCAGCCCGACTGTAAACCGAGGTGACTGCCTCTACAGTGGTGTAGTGGTTCTGCAAATGCGGCTCCAGTCTACATGCAGATCTTTTAACTTTGTCTTCATGAATAACTTTGCCCTGTTCTGGAGACGTTACAAAGCTTATCGTCCAAATAGTTTATACCCAAACAGATACGGCACCAGTTTGTTAATGGACTACATGCGTCAGTTTCAGTTTCCCCCGGGGGGGCGTGACTGTTTGTATCTGAGCCCCCTCGGCCCCCACCTTCTCCTAACTAGCATTGGGTGAGTACTCTGGTGCGAACACTGACTCCTGTCTGTCAGGCAGTGTATTACCAGTCCTGCCATTGAACAGTGCAGACTCCGCTGACTCTGGGACCTAAACATCAACAAAAGTGTTCAGATTTTAGACCTATTGCAACTGTGTTTGTTCCTCGTACCAGCTCAAAAATATTTTCAAATTTAAAAAAACGAGTCGCCTTTCCACTGAAGGAGTTCCTGGTAAAAGGAGGTGGGGGGGACATCTTTGTCCTCTCACTCTGCCCCCTCCATGGCAGAGTATGACCCCTGGGCGACGTCATGATTTTTGATCGGCACGTAATTGTTGTGTGACAGTTTCGCAGTATTATTTATATTACGGTGGGAACTGTTCCAGTTCTTGTGATCTGAGTTTTTTGTAGTCCTGCTTCAGTTTTTTTTTTACTTTTCACAGCATTGTTTTGTTTCAGTGTGATGAATCCCCAGTGCATTGAGGTGCGCTGATATGTCTTGATATCTTTTCATTTCTCTGAGATGCCCCAAACCACTTTTGAATTTACTCGTTGCCGTAGAAGGCAATCAATCCCTGCACCTCATCATCCGTCCATTTATTGTACATCTTGCTGTTGTTGTTTGCTGTTTCGAGTGGTGTCTGCTAGGCTAATGCTGCTGGATTTTAAAAATGCCGGTCGTTTTGTAGTTCTCTGATGGCGTCAGAGCCTGCTCTGCCTTTAGCTAATCAGTGCCGGGTTAACCTCAAGCCCCACCCAGGAGCTGTTCAGGCCCCGTAAAAGTTCCTGTAAATGGCCCTGTGGGGGAGGGTCTTGCAGTGGGGACATGCACCAACAGAGCTAGCCCTGGAAAATTCCCCCGAAGTTTCTGCGGTGGAAACACGACTAATTAAATTATAACAGAAGGACAGCAATTTAATGGTTCAATCCAGCAAATCTAATTCCTGTTCCTTGTAGAAATCCATCAACCACATCCACTAACTCTGATATAAATTTTAAACTTTAACTTTAACGTCAGATCACTATCTAATAAATCATTTTTATTGAATAATTTTATCTGTTCTCATGATGTTGATTTTATGCTTATGGCTGAAGCATGGCTTGACCAAAATACAGGAAGAATGTTAATGACAGAGAAACCTGCACTGCCATTGCCACTCTTTCTTTTATTGCCATTTTTTAAATTAGTTTTATTGTACATAAATATATCCTGGGGTGACAGTGGCTCGGTTGGTAGAGCATTGGACTTTGGGCCTGACGGTTGTGGGTTCAAGCTCACCACAAGACCTACTTCACTCCTCCCATTGATGTCTGCTGTTGTCGTGTTCTTGGGCACATGTTTGCACACTTCTGTCTTTTGCACAATCTGAGTGATTCTATCCATGATCTATCAATCTCTCCAGTCTCTCCAGTGTGAGATCAATAAAGTTATCTTATCTTATCTTAAATGCAAAAGAGCTGAGTTCTGTATTTGAAACTTTTGGTCTCACTCAGCACGTGAGTGGCCCCACCCACAGAGAAGGGCACACTCTTGAACTGCTCATTACAAAAGAATGTTAATGTGGTCAATGTTGCTCTGTCCGATCATTTCATCACGTGTTTTACTGAATCTGCAATTGTTAGAAAAAGACACATAAATGAAAACATGGGTGAACTGTTCATTGGAATGAGAACACACTATGGGCTACTGTCGACAAATTGTTTAACTCTGTCACCTCCAGTGTTCTGAATGTTCTGGACATCATCACCCCTGAGAAGGTTAAAATAGTTGCAAAAAAGCAAAAGGCCCCATGGACAAAAGCAGACTCTGTCAGGGCACAGAAGCGAGAGTGCTGGAGGGCTGAGCGGAAATGGCAAAAGTCCAACCTCAAGGGTGATTATGAAATCTTTAAGAATTAGTTGTATGAGTTTAACCAGGTGCTGCATTTGCAAAGTTTTTCAATGACAAAGTACAAGTTATCAAAAACGGCATCATCTTCACAATGCAAATAACGATGCAACAGCCAGCAAGGCATTTTGAGCACCTTTGGACAGTGTCCAAAAGATAATCACATGTCTGAGTTCCTCCACATGTAGTCTGGATGTATTACGCCCTAGATTTCTGAAGTCCATTCTGAGCAGTTTGTTACCTTCACTGACACAAATAATAAACATGTCTCTTTTATCTGGAACCCTGAAAACAGCAGTCATAAGACCTTACCGCAGCATCCAGACTGTTCTTCAGCAGTCTGGATGCTGTGGTACATAAAAATTACCATCCCATTTCAAATCTGCCATTCAAGGGAAAATAATCTTGAAAAAGTTGCTTATCAACAACTTACTGAATTTGTAATATAGTGTCCAAAGTAGACCTGGAGATTCTTATAAGTTCTTTTGTCTCCAGTAGGTTAGACTTTAAAGCAGCTCTGCTTGTGTACAAGTCTCTCCATGGTCTTGCACCAAAGTACATCTGTGACATGTCAGTCCCATATGAACCAACTCGGACTTTGAGGGGCGCAGGAATGGTCTCCTGCTGGTGCCCAGAGTCAGGACTAAACATGGGGAGGCAGCGTTTCAGTTTTATGCAGCTAAAGTCTAGCCTGACTCTCGCCAGACCCATGTAGTTCCCTGCACTTCACACATGAGTCTAGTATGGAGCCATAGTGGTTGGATTTCAGAAGGCAGGGCCTTGTAAAAAAAATCCTTGTATGTGATTGGATAGACCACTTGTCCGTTATCTTGAATGAAGTCTGCTTTCAACCACTCACATCGAAGCACACGGCTCCCATAGGTTGCCAAATCCCAGCAAGATTTTCCAACCCTAAATCCGCGAGAATACCCACACAAAAAAAACACTCAGAAGGATTTTTTTGGCTAAAAATGTAATGTAATCAACTTGGGCTATCATGATTCTGTTTATTGTCTTTGTTTATTTAATACCTACAAGTCTCTTGGAAAAAAATATGCGGGATCCACCAAACCTGGCAACCCTGCTGCATAGTGTGTAAACCATAGACTGTATATATTAACGGACAGAGTCACGCCTATCTCTGCCGTTCTAACTAATGGGCCAAAAAATGTGCTCTACTGGAGCAATCCAAAATGGCCGTGAGTGGTCCCGCCCACAAGAAAATTGTGAAAAAACGCATCTGCGCATGCGTCAGCCGGCGCAACTCCATTCATTTGAACGAGAGACTTCAAAAATTCACAGCAAGTAAACTAGAGTGGACCAAAAAAATCCACCCCCCTCAGCATTGACACACATGTGGAACGGAGCTTTGGGCCAAGAGCCAACTTTTGGTCCATCCTGTAAAGACGTTTTTGAGAGGTCTGCCAATGCTATATGTTAGCATTGGCTAATTCTACTTCTGGGTCCACCGCCACAGGCCCGGGGTGGTATTGTAAGCATGTCAGCGCACGTCATTTTGGCCACTTTTGAGCTGGGACCCTCCCCCACTGGTGTAAACAGGAACACTGAACCAGTGCTTCAACCAAACTTTACAGGAACATTTGACTCTTAAAACACACATATATCAACATAGAACCATCAACATCTCGCCTCAAATTGCATTAAAAGTGACATCCGTGTCTTAATTCGTTCGTTTATTTACTCTTTTAAAAAGATTTGCGGACTTTACGTCCGCCATCTTGGATTCCTCTCGCTGCTGCATGAGAAAAGCTTGAGAAGGCAGTGCAAACCCCACGTAACACCGGCAATCCTGATTGGTCGATTAAAAAATAATCTGGGGAAGGCGTTCGCTATGGGCTCGATACCAGACCCATGTGGTTCAGCCAAACGCCTCTGGTGGAGCATGGCGGAACTACAAGGGTCTGGCAGAGCCAGGCAAGCTGAAGTCTGGAACAGTTTGCCTGTACATACAACTGAAGTAATTATTTCTATTATTAATGCACTGTGGTTATTTTTTTAATCCCTTGTGTGATTTTAATGTTAGAATTATTTTCTCATGTGATTTTCATGTTTATAATTACCCGTGTGATTTTTTACAATACAATACAATACAATTTATTCTTGTATAGCCCTAGGTCACAACAGAAGTCATCTCAGAGACTTAACAAAACCATTGATATCACCAACACAGGTCAGAGAATCAACAGTTAAAACACATGAAGAATATAAAGCACACACAGAAGAAAATGTCCATACATGTTGTAGAATGCTAAAGTGTCCTGATCATCACCAATCCTTTCTGTTGGACACTAACTGTCCAACAAGACCCTCCTGCATCCACAAGGAACAACTCTTAAACCCAGTGGGAAAAAGTGAGAAACCTTGGAGGAGCACTAGGGAAACCCACAGGGAGGGAGACCCATTTGAGAAAGGGATCCGCTCCTCCGGACGGACAGGCTAATGATCTAGGACCTAAGCTAGCTACAGAACGTGGACCAGTGGCCGCTGAACGTGGACAGGTCCGGTGCAGGACTGAAGCACTCCCAGGCGGGTCGGGCGGGGCAGTCCGCAGGTGTAGATGGAGGAGGCCAGGCTCAGAGATCCCGTCATCGTACCATGAAACAGACAATGGGACAACGGGTGAATAGCAATGAACAAACGTGTTATTGTGTTTTAAATAGAGATTGTGTTTGTTTTGTGATGATTTGTGCCTTGTGTGATGTGGACTGTGAAGCGCTTTGTGTTGCCCTGGCTATGAAAAGCACTTTACCAATAAAGATTGATTGATTGATACTACACTATGAGTACTACGAGTATTTAAGTTCAACAGGGGGCAGGATCTCTAACACATGTTTTGATGTGAAAGCACATAACCCCTGCTGTTTGTGGTTGACCTGTAATACCAGTGCCTGCCTGCAGGGGGTGGAGAACGTGTACACACAGCACCAGCCGCTGCTGCAGGACACCCTGGACCAGCTGATCAAAGGGCGTCTGAAGGACACTCTGTTCCCCTATGTGGGACCCAGCGCCCTACGGGACAGGTGAGGGGAAACAATGTTCCTGTATGTGCTACAGACAGCCATTGTGACCTCTGACCCCTGCAGGCCGCAGGACATCATTGTCTTCATCATCGGAGGAGCAACTTATGAAGAAGCTCTGTGCGTTTACAACCTGAATAGAAGCAGTCCAGGAGTCAGACTGGTGCTGGGAGGAAGCCACGTTCACAACACCAGGAGGTACTCCTGCTACTGTTAAAGTCAAACCCTTATATCACTGGCTCAGACAGACGCACGTCACACATACAAACTAACGTCATACAGAATTTCAGAGTCAATGAAGAGGCCAGAACCAAATTCAAATGTAGTACCACCCAAAAAGGTAGAGAGGGTGCCACACAGACGTTTTTTTGGCTCAAAAGTGAGATTGTATCTAATTTGAACTAAAATGTCAAAAAAATGACCAGGATATGTAGAGAGCACTACAATTAACATATTTATGCAGTTTGAGTAAAAAAAAAAAAAAAGTTGATTTGGTGTTTAGTCGCTCTTTAAAGGAGCAATATGTAATATTTGCATGTCAAGTCATCATTAAATGACCCGAATATTTCAAAAGGTGTTATTAAATCATACTCTTTTCGAATTCATCTTTAACTGATAACAGTAGTTCAGCCGAGATATTTGATTATCAAAATTAGTTTTACGACCCGTAAAAGTTGTTTTTGTTTTGATTTTGATGTCCTGCCCTCCGCCGTTTCGCCAATCAGGAAGTGTCATGTAAGTCTGTGATCGGGTTGCCAGGACTCCGCGCGACTCATTCATCTCAGAGGTAAAATAACATGTGGCCGCAGAACTAAAAAAGGTCTTGTTATGACTCTCAAATAATTAACTCACTGACTGCCAGGCATTTTCAGATTTGAGAAGTGCATTCTGCCAGCAATTTCAGGTGATTTGACCCAACTTTGAAGTGCCACAGAATATTCATTTTTTAGACGATGTAAACACCAAGGGCACCAAATTAAAGATTCACCTCTCTGCTTTACTCTGAAAAAAACAGTTTGTTTCTACCTCTTACCGTTCTTGCGTTATTCGCCATAGAACAAAGCATACTTTCACCCATAACACCTGGTCTGAGCAAGAAAACAGAGAAAACGAGCTGTATGTAAACAGGAACATATCAAGCAGAAAAGAGACTTTTAGATGCATTTTTGCTGCTTTAGTGACAACTCAAAACATCTTCACACTTGTTCCATTACAAAAATTATAAAAACATGACTCTGAAATAATACTTTTGATGGCAAATTGTTGGCAATTTATTCACAGATAGAAAATTTAACTTTCTTCTATACCATCAACCAAAACGTCAAACAACAACAACACAAAGATCAATAAAACTATAGATGTATAAAATAGAATGAAGCATGTGAATTTGAGTGTGTGTGTGACTGTCAGTGTGCGAGTGAGTGTCTGTGTGAGTGAGTGTCTGTGTGTGTGAATGTCAGTGTGTGAGTGAGTGTCTGTGTGTGTGAGTGTCTGTGTGTGTGAATGTCAGTGTGCGAGTGAGTGTCTGTGTGCGTGAGTGAGTGAGTGAGTGCGTGTGAGTGTTTGTGAGTGTGTCCGATAAATCATGATCAGGTTTGCTGAACGAATCCGAGGCATCAGTAACAGCAGCAGCTGATACGCTGCGATAGGCGGAAGGTGTGTCTCTGCTCTTGCTCCGCGCAAATGTAGCTGCAGAGACGGACCTCCACCGGGGTCTCCACTCTCTCCCCTCTCGACCTCACTCACTGATCCGCGAGTCAATCTCTGAAGCAGTGTCAACTGCTTATAACTATTCTTTTTCGCCATCACTCTTGCTATACTATCGCTAAACTAGATCGCTGATCCGTCTCAATGCTACGCTATCATTGCACGCTCTGCTACAGCAGCACGCTCTGCTACAGCAGCACGCTCTCTCATGGGCTAGACACACGGGAGGCGACATCGCATCGCCTCCATTCATTTCAATGGGACGTGCGCGACATAGCGTCAATCGCTAGCGAGCCTCCTGCTCAGCGACGGGCGAAAAACGTGCGTGTGAAATCCTCCTGCTCGTGCATGTATCGTGCACGCGCAGGTCAGCGACGCGATCCCAGAAAGTTGAAATCGGCTCAACTTTTCGACGCTGTCGTCAAGCCGCATCGCGCCCCGTCTGTCATGTTATCTGAGCGACAGCGTTGAGTTTCGCTGATCGCTCTCATTTGTCGCCTCCCGTGTGTCTAGCCCATTACACTCCCACACTCCTCCTTCTCTCCACTGACTTATGACCTCTCCTGTGGTGCAATACTGCATCCTACTGGTGGTGATTTATCATTACAGGTACATTTGCACTATATATCAGTATTGTGGGTCATTAACAAGGTGCGCCAGACATTACTGTAGCCTCCCGTGTAATAACACGAAAAACTCGTCATGGGCAGTGAGCGTTACTATTCAACATGACGAGTTTTGTCGTCATGGGCAGTGAATGAGTTAATGACAAAACAAAGACTAAAACGAGGATTTATATCGGGATGCCTTTGAACAATTGAGACAGCTGATAAAAGTTCACGTGTGATGCAGAATTTTCTAGTTTGAGTCCGTTCTTCACAGTGTCTCTATTCGTGTGAATCGGTGGTCTAGTGGTCTAGACTGTGCGCTTACGATGCAGGAACCCGGGTTCGATCCCGGGCTATGTTTTTTTGTATTTATTGCATGTTATCACATTCTATGACAGATTGCTCTAAAACGGTAAAAGATGAAGGTCAAGACGTTTTTTTGCAGATTATAGCTTAATTGTAAAAATAATCATTTAAGACCACATGTACCCCAATTAAAATAATGTTAGTCTCTTTTTGATGTTTGTCTAAAAAATAGGGAATAAATAAAATTGAAAGGTGATATCCTCTTGAGCAAACCCTGATGTTGATACGCTGAAGAAATACGTTCCAACATCCATTCTTCCCACTCCTATTTTGGACATCAATTGCTTATTTATTTTGCATAAACTATGTATAATTACATAGCTTTTATTTTGTTTTTGTTTTTTATCTCAAATGTCCAAATAATAATAATAAAAAAACATTAATCAAAACATTCATTCAGCATTAGCACGGCTGTCATGGCAATGTGAATGGAGACGGACAAACAACTGATAAATTAATTCCCTGTGTTTGCTGCTGGATTTGGTGTGTATCTGGCAACCTGAGAGTGGGAGAGGACTACAAAATATTGACTGTGACTGCAGTACCACTTTTGGCCAGATTTTTACATATTGTTCCTTTAAGTCTCTGCTGTGTCATGTCATCACTACACAGTGACTACATAGCAACAATATTACTACACAGTTCAGTTGTAGCAGATGTTTCTCTCGCCGCAGTTTCCTGGAGGAGGTGATGTTTGCCACCGGTCACGGCTCACAAGGCGGCAGTCGTCATGGTAATCGGCGCTAGTGGTCCCTGGGCCAATCCAGACAGTCATTCCTCCTTTGGTTTTATTTATGTGAGATTTGTGTTTTAAATTTGACAAAATAAATGAATCAAATATCAAAGATCTTTACTGAAATTATTTTCATTCCTCGTAAAGTAGGAGTGGACTGAGCATGACAATATTGACCTGCCCTGTTCCACCACCTCTGCTGCTGTGTCCTGAAGTGCTGTTGCATTTTATGTTTACTATTGTTAGATTTTTAGAATGATCGTTTGTCTGGATGGATGTGTTTTTGCTGCTACTGGACACCTACATTTCTCCTACGGGGATCTGTCAATGACATCACCACAGTGGACTAAGCTAGTGTGACATCACCACAGCGTTAACCTTAATGCAGAAGAATTTGAGCTAGATTTCCTTATGGGTATTTGTTCCGATAATTTTGCAGCATAACGGGACCAGACATGCTGAGATGGTTGCTAAGGCAAGCCTGGAGTTTCCTCCACAAATGAAGGCATAGCACTCAGATGGACCAGGAGTTCCAGAGGCTGTGAGGACCAAAATCACGTCTTCAAACACTTAGGCCTCCTGGTGCAAGCGTTCATCAAAAAGATTATTTGGAAAACGTCACTAAATATTTTATGATTTGAATCATTTCTACAAGTAATAATAAAGTGTCAGTCTTTTACTGTTTTTATTCATCCCATTCTGTGAGCAATGTAATGAAATACTGACATATAAAACAAAACCAATGTTACAATGCACTTCACAGATGTGCATCTCACACCTGCAGCTGGAGGCTCATTAAGGTACAACTGTATCTTAACGAACAAGTGCCCCTGTATTAGACCCATCCCTGCTCTGCATTAGACCCATCCTCACAGTGATGAGTTGAGACACAGTGATATCACTAAGTGTCTCATAGTGAATGTTAATCACAAACCTTCACGATGGTCCTAGGTCGCCAGGGAAAACACCTGTCTGACATTGTACAACTTTAATCTCATGATTAACAACTACTGAGGCATAGGACCAAGAAGATTGTCTCTCTGAAAGAGCCCGAGTCCTGTCCCTCTGAAGGGCCCAAGTCCTGTGAATCCCCATCATACCAGAGCTTGAAGGCAACACTCTTAGGTAAAAGGTAACATATTAATCACATCTTTATTATTATAAAGATAACATCCACTGCTCCAAGGCGGGCAGAGGCGGAGGGGGAGGAGGGGGGTAATAACGTACACGGGTTAATCGCATGATCTGTAAACGAATTAGTTTCATTAAAACAGTTTGTGTAAAAGCGTCTAAAGGCTGAAGCTGCGCTCACAGCTCGGGCAGTCCACCAGCAGCAGTCCGGTCGAGGGGCAGTTGTAGGAGGCTAAGGCGGGACAGGGGAACATACAGTCAGGGCAGCTGTGGCTCTGTGGCTCACCAGCACTACCCTCTTCACTGGCCCCTCCCCCCGCAGTCAATTCGTCCTCGCGGTGATGCGCACTCACGTGGCCGCGGAGCTGATCGCTGCGGCCAAAGCCCTTCCCGCAGAGCCGACACGTGAAGGGCTTGTTGTCGCTGTGCGTCAGCAGGTGGCGCTTCAGGTCGCTCTTGCGCCGCAGGAACTTGCTGCACACGGGACACTTGAAGGATGACGGCTGCTTGTGGTTCTCCGCCACGTGGCTCACCAGGCTCGACTTCTTCCCGTACGCCTTCCCACAGATCTGACAGGGGAAGGATGTAGTGGGGGGCGAGGATGTAGTGGGGGGCGAGGCTGCAGGGGACGAGGCTTGGCCTGGCTGGTCTGTCGGTGCAGCAGTGGGCTGGGCCGACAGCTTTGCACCGGGCAGCAAGGACTGGTGCTTGTCGTGCGTGCGCATGTGGCCACGCAGGTGCGTGTTGCGGCTGAAGCCTTTGCCGCAGCTCGGACAGATGTGGCGCTTCTCTCCTGCGTGCAGCGACAGGTGCGCTTTGAGGTCGCCGCGCCGCAGGCTCTTGTTACAGATTGCACAGCTCACGTACTCGCCGTCCTGGACACAGGTGAGAAGAGACATGAAACCAACAACAAGGACAAGAGCAGAGGAGTCCCACAGGGGTCAAGCCTGGGACCTCTCTACATGCTGCTGTTGGGTCAGTTATTTCACGTTGCCGTATCACCACTAGAAAGATCCCTCTCACTAGCCCCTCCCCTCTCTCACTAGCCCCTCTCCTCACCTTGTGTGTCAGCACGTGCTCCACTAGGCCCTCCCTCTCAGCAAAGCTCTCTGCACAGAGGCTGCAGCTGAAGGGGGCGTGGTCTGAGCGGCGGTGCAGCTTGCCGCACGCGCTCAGATGGCGGTTAAAGTGTAGTGATCGGCTGAAGCCCTGACCGCAGCCATCGCACACGATCACCGGAGACAGACCGCGGTCAGGAGTGTCTGCACCTTCAGCCGGGACGTCCAGTAGAGCTTCGTCCACCACGCCGCCTGGGGGGAGGGGGCACAGGGTTAGGCGTCACATGGTCTCTGGTCTCATGTCAGGGGCAGTACCTGCAATGTGTGTACGCAGGTGCAGTCTGAGCGCGTTGCGGCGGTTGAAGCTCCTCCCGCAAGCGCGGCAGCTGAACGGTCGCTCCCCGGAGTGAAGCATCATGTGACGGCGCACGTCGCCGCGCTGCCGGAACCGCTTCCCGCACACGGAGCATGCGAACGGGCGCACGCCCGAGTGGATGAACATGTGGTACTTCAGCACCGTCAAGGTCTTAAAGGTCTGCGTACACACAGGACACGCGTGTGCAGGTTTGGAGGTCTAAGGAAAAGAAAAAGCCGTCAAACAATTACAATATTTAATTGTGATTAATCACATTATGTCATAGTTAACTCGCAAATAATCACAATTAATCACAAATATCCCTGTTCCAAATGTCCCTTGATTTGATTTTAAAAGTTATTGGATGAAGCAAAAAGCTTATATTAATTTAATCTTTTCCAAAAAGACAGTATTGTCTAATATCAGCTTCTCAATCTCTAAAAGGTAATGGTGCACTTTATTTATCCCCGTACGACGATTCATCCTCTGCATTTGACCCATCCTGATGCCACTGGGGCGTCTATCAAGAGCAGTGGTTACCGTAGTACAGTGCCTAGGGATCTCCAGATGTTGAGGCTCGGCTTGGTCAGGACCACCAGAGCTGGAGAATTTTTCCTATTGTGCATGTTTTTTCAATCTCTGCATTTGTTATTGCTTTTTACATAGTACAGAACAGAGGTTCCCACACATAATCAAACCTTTTACACCAACCATTGATTTACCTAGGGGTTTATGTGGGTGTTTACCATTCAGAATATCACATATGGTTCTTGATGCAGATGTGATTCATGATCAAGTAATGACCATGTTGTATTTATTCGCATTTCATTGTCAGTAATTTTTACTCCCATCTAGCTTTGAGATCATATATTGTATATTGCCGTCACCATTACGTACCGGCCATAATCAACTATTAGTGGTACGAGTTTCAGTTCTGTAGCTCTAAGCCTATGGCCATGAGAGCAGAAAAAAAAAAATCACTGCTGCCTTTCTTGAAAACGGTGGTGAAATTCTAACTTAAAAAAAAAAAAAAAATGTATGACTTCTATCCGTCCAGATGGAGAAATTACAAGGTAGAACTCTCTGCGATGAAACACCTGGGACTAGATCAAATTCAAAAACACAAAACGTTTAGTAGTGTAAATCTAAACTATCTCCGCTCTGATTGGTCAAAGCTCGGCTGAGCCCCTCTGTGCACGTGCATGAGAGCCACACACGCGTATTTGGCGCAATGCATCATGGGAGCTCATCCACTGCGCAGAACTGGGAGGACCAGCCAATGCCCAATTATAAGCGAGTTCCGCTAATCTTGGGCCCCCATGTTTGTCCCATGTAGGGATGTAAATCGGCGACCGGTTAACCGGTGGTTGACCGTCACAGCGTTAACCGGTCAAAGCTGTCGGTTAAAAAAGAGAAAAAGGGGAGAGGGGAGGTCTCTTAATAACGCTATTTTAAGCCCTATTTGCACGGTGTGACGAGCGGGTCTGTATCTAGCTGTGTGCGCCCATGTATTATAAACTCCGGGACGACTCTCACGCCGCACGAGCCACATATGCACACACGCACGCGTACGCACGCGTGCACACACACACACACTTTCCCCCTCTCCATACGTAACATCCACACGCATCATCTCTCCCCTCTGTTACCGTGAAAGTTGCACACTGGCGCGGGTCAGAACTACATTGGAGCTTACATTTACACACACACACATACACACATATACATACACACACACACACACACACACATACCGGTCTGTCGCGCTCCTCTGTGCGCGACAGACAAAGGATTCGCACAAATACACGGCTCCAGTCAAACCACATGGAACATGTTTGTGTTTATGGTCCTCGGGATCAGCTCCACACACATCACTTGTATTTAAACTTTTGTGAAGACCTGTGAGACGCGGCTCGTCACTCGCTGCTCTGACCATGTGAACGAGCCGTCGTTTGCTGCTAGAAAGTTTTGGTATTAACCCGCAGCACAGCAGAATGGGAAGATTAAAAAAGCAGTTCTCTGTGCGCAAAGGTGCCGGAGCTGTTGCGGGTTTGGGCGCCGCTGTCTCAGCTCTGATCCAGTAGAACGCAGAGCTGCACTTATGAAAAGTACGCGGCTCGAAATGGCTGTTATTTCAAAGAACGTGGACTATTTTAAACTACGCGGTTAACCGGTTTCAACCGGTTAATGAGGCTCGGTGGTCGGTCATGAAAATTCATAGTTTTTTACATCCCTAGTCCCATGCGCTACTGATCACAAGCCATTGATTTGGATAGGGCGCCATCTTGGATTTCCGGGCTTGGTATCAGCTTTGTAGGTTTGAGCCTCGGGCCCTGAAGGGTCACTAAGGTGTTATTCGCCATGGCAAGGGACAAAAACAAAGTGAACAATTTCTAATTTGTTATTGATAACTCCAATCCGTCCAGAATAGGAAAAATTAGTCAAATTGGCGGCGAAACTTCAGACCATCATGGCCGACATCCTGTAGGTCCTAGAGCAAGAATTCAAGAGAGTTTGTGTCTAATGAGGCGTTCGACCGCCAACGCTTGAACGCAACTTGCGTTAATCCACACTGGACGCACATTCACTACATTTCAGCCGCAGAATAAAGTGCTGCCCTGCTTTTGCGCACGGTGGAAGTGGCGGAAGCAGGGTAGAAGTGGCGGGCGGGCTTTGATACTAACAGAGTTAAGCTAGCGGCTTTTTATGTAAAGTTCTTCTCCAAGAATGCAGCGTCTCTGTGTCTCTGTGTCCTATAACTTTCTATAACGGCAGCATGTGGTCACGGAGGTGCGCCATTTATTTTTCAAATGATACTTCCGCTTCGGCGAACACGTGTTAGCAGCACTTGCTTACAGTCACAAGAGAATGAGAACTCAAGGACTGTGTGTTGAAAAATTACCCTAAGTGCATTTTAAATTATCTTAAAATGTGTTATATGTATGTTAGCCAAACCTGTTGCTGTCCTTAGCAGATAAACCAGGAAGAGCAAGGAGCTTATCGATGGAATTGTATGCAGCCAACTTCTGCGCTCACATGCGCTCCTCTGCGGCCTCACGGTGATACAAGCCGTGGTAGAGGGCGATTAAGACCCATATTTGTTTCAAAAACACAATTTATGAGCCATCCTCTCAGCTGTAGACATGTAGATTGTAAAGGAAATATGTTTTACATCAGCCAATAATTGCTGAGAGGTTTTCTCATCCTCCCTTCTCTCATGACAACACGCGCACGAGTCCTATCACGAAGTAAAAAGAGAAGTTCATTGTGCGTCTTGAGTAACGCGCAGTAACGGGATGTTAATGATAACGACGTTATAGTTACAGTCAAAGTAATTAGTTAGATTACTCGTTACTAGTAACGCCGTTATTCCCATCACTGTTGTTCAGTGGGTCAAATATGAGATCAAACAACAGAAAACCTATATACCTGTATCCCCATGTAAACCTTTACTCAGCCTGCAGGATGCGATAATGGGCCAATGTCATTGTTCACACTGTCATGTGACCTAGGCCCAGGAGTTGAACAACCGAGTCAAGTTTAGTGCAAATCAGAGTTTGCACATATACACACACACATTACTCGTTGGAAAAGCAATAGGCCCTTACCCCAGGTGGGGCTCGGGCCTAATAAATAAACCGAACCAAGGAATTTTTTTTGAAAATCTTCGAGCAAAAACAATATAGGTTTCCACAGTAACCTGTAATACAAACGATACATCGTTTTAAAGCGAACGACATGGCGAACACAACTATTGGGTTCTCTGTGATTGACGAGCGCGTCAGCCATTCTGTGCCTCCGGAGATTGTGACTTATGACAGTTACACCAGTTGGGGCTCGGGCCTAATAACTAACCCTCTCCAATACTTCGTATTGGCTTGGGCTAAAAATGCTGAGTAACATTTGTGTGGAACAGTGGAAAGTGTTCATGAGTTAAGGGCTGTTTGCTGATGTTCAGTGTAACAGACCGGTCTGTGCAGCTCACCTCCTGCTGCGCACCCGCCTCATGAGTCTTCATATGATGCTTCAGGGCCAGGGTGCGGATGAAGCGGCGGCCGCAGACTGAACAGCTGAAGGGTTTCTCTCCGGAATGAACCATCATGTGCTGACGCACTTGTGCCACGGTGCGTCCAAGTGCCTTCCCGCAGATCAGACACGCCCCTGTGATGTCATCTGTGTGCGCCGCCATGTGCTCTGTCAGCTGTGATGGCTCGTAGAAACTCTCGTTACAGAATTTACAGCGTGTGTTTACTTCCTCATCAGGCTCCTCCCCTTTCACCTGCAAACTCTGCTCCACAGCGCCATCGTCAGGACAAAGAATTTCGTCGCACTGCAGCGCCTCCTGTGGAGCGCCCTGGAACAACAGGTTACACATGAGACATGTGACATCACACACATGGTATCTGCACATTTACAGAATATGACATGGACACAGCATGGACAAGAGGCTTTTTACGCCTCAGTCTGTACAGCTGAATGGTTTCTATGTATGTGTGCGCAAAGCGGTGTATGTGTGTCTGTGTTTGTCCGTGCATGCGTGTGTTACCTGTGTGCACAGCTTGTTGTGGTGCCGCAGTGTGAACTTGCGGTTAAACTTCATGCCACACTGGGAGCAGCTGAAAGGTTTCTCTCCGGAGTGGATCATCATGTGGCGCCTGACATCATTCCGTTTGGTGCCGACGCCTTTTCCGCAGATCAGACACGTCCCCGGCGGCTCTGACAGGTGTGTGGTCAGGTGATCTGTCAGTAGACCTTTCCGGAAGAACTGCTTCTCACACAGACAGCACCCAAAGGTGCCCTCTTCATCATCCTCTTCCTCTGCGCTCTTCTCCGGAGACTCTTTGTGGACGGGGACAGCCACACTACAGATGTTCATGTGTACCTAAGAGAGGAGGCGAAAAGGTAAAAGAGGAGGAGATATGAGGAGAGAAGAAAGGAGATGACAGGGGTGTAAGTGTGTGTATGTGTGCGTGCATCTAACCATTATTTTTTCGATGCATTTATTACTCTAACAATTAATTTTTTCAGTTCGATTTGATTATCAATTATCTCCCCATTAATTGACTAATATCAATGTAAACATGGTGTGTTGATTAAAATATCTGAATGAAAAAACAAATTCCTTAACAAAATATATTTATCGCTCTTAAAATTCCAAAAAAAGACTTTCTTAGTCAAAGGTAGCATAAAACCTTGAAGCCTTGAAAATACATCTAGCTTACTGAAAAAAGTGCATCTTATTATTCTTCTTTCAGATGAAAATAAAACTTGATGTTTAGCATTCAATAAAAAAAATGAAAAGTTCACCCAAAATACTTGTTTAGAGCAACTGAAAGAATACAGAAACCAATGTAAACTTGAGGGCTTTCAGCTAAACGGAGAGTGCTTTTCCAGCAAAAAATAAATAATGAAAATAAACATTTAGAATTCAACAGTTATTTTGAAAATAGACCTAGCTTACTGAAAAAATCATCTTCATTCAAAAATAACAAATAACAACTTAGACTCGGACACTTTCCTTTCCCCTTAAAGGAAAGTGTCTCTTTGTGTGTGCTTGTGAACATATGCCTCCAGCCGGAGTTATCATTCTCCAGTGACTAAACTAGCGCAGCTAGCATGTTCGCCGATGCGGAAGTACCGTCTAATAATAAAATAAACGTATGGCGCACCTCCGTGAACATATACAGTTGTTATACAAAGTCTATGGAAGGTCTCTGGACAGAGACGCAGCAGAGCTGCCTTCTTGGAGAAGAACTTTACACAAAAAGCTGCTAGCTTTACTCCGTTAGCCCAGGGCTTCTGGTCTGAACACCCCAAGCCTCTGTAATTTAGAGAATGTGCGTCTACTGCGCGTAGAAACTGCGTTCCAGAGTCGGCGGTCTGAACGCCCCACGGCGTGTGTTTATGTGCGTGCGTGCGTCTGTGTTTACCTGGAGTGTAGAGTTGCGGTTGAAGCTCTTGCCACAGCCCACACACACATAGGGCTTTTCTCCAGAATGGATCATCATGTGACGTCGCACGTCGTTCTTAGATTTCTGGATGGTTTTGTGGCAGACGAGGCACGTGCCACATGCCTCACTGATGATCACATGATTGGTCATGTGATCGGTGAGCAGGGAGGCGGATTCAGAGCGGTGAGAGCAGACAGAGCAGGTGAACGTCTCTTCCTCCGGGGGTGCTGCGTCCACACACACCTGAGGACACAACACAAATCACCCTCTCCTTTACCCACTTTCCTCTCCTATCCTCTCTTCTATCCTCCCTCTCCTCTCTCCTCTGTCCTCTCACCTTTCGAGCCCTGTTCTGTCATGTCCTCTCCTCTCACCTTGGTGGGGCGTGGTGTGCTCCTCTTCTTGCTCGCCTCCTTCTTCTCTCCGCTGTGCAGCATCATGTGTCTCAGGATGTTGCTAATGTGTGGCGACACTTTGCGGGTGCAGACCTGGCAGCGCGGTGGGTCACCTCCCACATGGACGACCATGTGGGCCGTGAGGGCGGGTCTCTGAGGAGGAGGAGGCATGTTCAGTAAATGTCTGAGGGGCAGGAGTCATATTCGGTAAGCGTCTGAGGGGGAGGAGTCATATTCGGTAAGCGTCTGAGGGGCAGGAGTCATATTCGGTAAGCGTCTGAGGGGGAGGAGTCATATTCGGTAAGTGTCTGAGGGGCAGGAGTCATATTCGGTAAGCGTCTGAGGGGGAGGAGTCATATTCGGTAAGTGTCTGAGGGGCAGGAGTCATATTCGGTAAGCGTCTGAGGGGGAGGAGTCATATTCGGTAAGCGTCTGAGGGGCAGGAGTCATATTCGGTAAGTGTCTGAGGGGGAGGAGTCATATTCGGTAAGTGTCTGAGGGGGAGGAGTCATATTCGGTAAGTGTCTGAGGGGGAGGAGTCTATAGTGTTTAAGCGCCTCACCGTGGTGAAGCTGAGCGCGCACACGCAGCAGCTAAAGGCCTCTTCCTGTTGTGGGGGGGCGGGGCCTGCGTTGCCGTGGCGACAGTTCATCTGGTGGTTGTGCAGGGCGTGTCTGCGGGTGAAGCGCTTCTGACAGCGGTCGCAGACGAAGGGCTTCTCTCCGGAGTGTGTCATCATGTGTCGGCGCACGTCGCCAGAGTTGTGCAGCTGTGTCCCGCACAGAGCACACAGCGGTGGTCTCCCCACGGCGTGCGTCGTCAGGTGATCTGTGAGTGCCTCCCGACACGACAGCACCGCCCCGCACAGCGCGCAGCAGAACGGGGCGGGGCCAGAAGGCACAGGGGGCGGGGCCAGTAGCAAGGAGGAGGAGCCTGGCTCTGGAGGTCTGGGGTCCAACAGTCCAGTCTGTAGCCAGAACCCTGAGACAGAAATATATCATCAGGAACAGTCATAAGGAGCTAGTGTCTCTATAGAGCGGTCATCAAGAGCTAGTGTCTCTGTAGAGCTTTCATCAGGAGCTACACTAGTGTCTCTGTAGAGCTTTCATCAGGAGCTACACTAGTGTCTCTGTAGAGCTGGCATCAGGAGCAACACTAGTGTCTCTGTAGAGCTGTCATCAGGAGCTACACTAGTGTCTCTGTAGAGCTGGCATCAGGAGCTACACTAGTGTCTCTGTAGAGCTGGCATCAGGAGCAACACTAGTGTCTCTGTAGAGCTGTCATCAGGAGCTACACTAGTGTCTCTGTAGAGCTGTCATCAGGAGCTACACTAGTGTCTCTGTAGAGCTGTCATCAGGAGCTACACTAGTGTCTCTGTAGAGCTGGCATCAGGAGCTACACTAGTGTCTCTGTAGAGCTGGCATCAGGAGCTGTACCTGCGTGTGGTCCGTAGGAGGTGCTGTCCCTGCTGTCTTGGTCCTCCTCCTCAGACCCGCAGATGGCGCTGTGCTCTGTGTGGAGCTGCATTTCCATGTTTGGCCTGAAGATGGCGTTCTCTTCTTGCTCCTCCTTCAACTCGTCCATCTGAAATAAAAATATTTAACAAATGCATTATAATTGTTTTGATTCAATTCAATTATTTTTGTATCACCATAAATAACAACAATAGTCATCTTTGAGGAATTTACAGTTATGGATATGACAACACAGAAGTCACCAAGGCAGCCTCTTTGGTGGCTCCGGGAGATGGATGAGATCCGTCCTGACTATCTAAAGTTTCTGGATGTTGTAGGACTGTCTTGGCTGACACGTCTCTGCATCGAGGGCGGTGTCATTCTCTACAAGAAGGCAGACCGGAGAGGCGTGTTCCAATTATCATGGGATCACACTCCTCAGCCTCCCCGGTAAGGTCTACTCCAAGGTACTGGAGAGGGGACTTCTACCAATGGTCAAATCTCAGATTCAGATAGATACAGATACTTTATTGATTCCTGTAGGAGAAATTCAGTTATCCAGTAGCACCAAAAATATAAAATAAAATTGATCATTCTAAAAAGCTAATAATAGTAATAACTAGAAACTTGCAATGGCTGAAGCCATTGCGATTGACTGCGGAACAGATCTAATGTGGAAATCTGCTAAAAAAAATCCTTGAAATCCTTTAAAAGGCCTTGAAACTGTTAAAATGCTTGATAGATATTTGAAACTCCTGAAGTCCTTGAAATTGTTGAAACATTGAAACTCCTGAAATCCTTGAAACTTTTTTAAACCTGGAAACTGTTGAAAGTGTGGAAACTCCTGAAATCCTTGAACCTCCTGATATCCTTGAAACTGGTTAAATTCTTAAACAGTTGAAATCCTTGAAACTACTGAATGTATTGAAAGTGTCCTTGAAACTGAAAAATCCCCTCACCGCTGAAACAATTTGGTTCCTGTAACTAAGGAAACCTGGTCTGTGGTCATTATCTGGTGGTGGTCTGAGTCTTCGTTTGGGTCTTGGTCTGGTGGTATAATGCAACCTATTAGGTTGCATTATACTGGTTTACATGGAAAAATCCCTATTAGGTTGCATTATACTGGTTTACATGGAAAAATCCCTATTAAGTTGCATTATACTGGTTTACATGGAAAAATCTCTATTAAGTTGCATTATACTGGTTGACATGGAAAAATCCCTATTAGGTTGCATTATACTGGTTTACATGTACAAATCCCTATTAAGTTGCTTTATACTGGTTTACATGTAAAAACCCCTATTAGGTTACATTATAGTGGTTTACATGTAAAAATCCTTATTAAGTTGCATTATACTGGTTTACATGTAAAAACCCCTATTAAGTTCCATTATACTGGTTTACATGAAAAAAACCCTATTAAGTTGCATTATACTGGTTTACATGGAAAAATCCCTATTAAGTTGCATTATACTGGTTTACATGGAAAAATCCCCATTAAGTTGCATTATACTGGTTTACATGAAAAAAACCCTATTAAGTTGCATTATACTGGTTTACATGGAAAAATCCCTATTAAGTTGCATTATACTGGTTTACATGGAAAAATCCCTATTAAGTTGCATTATACTGGTTTACATGGAAAAAACCCTATTAAGTTCCATTATACTGGTTTACATGTAAAAAAAAAACCCTATTAAGTTGCATTATACTGGTTTACATGGAAAAATCCCCATTAAGTTGCATTATACTGGTTTACATGAAAAAAACCCTATTAAGTTGCATTATACTGGTTTACATGAAAAAAACCCTATTAAGTTGCATTATACTGGTTTACATGGAAAAATCCCTATTAAGTTGCATAATACTGGTTTACATGGAAAAATCCCCATTAAGTTGCATTATACTGGTTTACATGAAAAAAACCTTATTAAGTTGCATTATACTGGTTTACATGGAAAAATCCCTATTAAGTTGCATTGTACTGGTTTACATGGAAAAATCCCTATTAAGTTGCATTGTACTGGTTTACATGAAAAAAACCCTATTAAGTTGCATTATACTGGTTTACATGGAAAAAACCCTATTAAGTTGCATTATACTGGTTTACATGTAAAAACCCCTATTAAGTTGCATTATACTGGTTTACATGGAAAAATCCCCATTAAGTTGCATTATACTGGTTTACATGAAAAAAACCCTATTAAGTTGCATTATACTGGTTTACATGAAAAAACCCTATTAAGTTGCATTATACTGGTTTACATGGAAAAATCCCTATTAAGTTGCATTATACTGGTTTACATGGAAAAATCCCTATTAAGTTGCATTATACTGGTTTACATGGAAAAATCCCTATTAAGTTGCATTATACTGGTTTACATGGAAAAATCCCTATTAAGTTGCATTATACTGGTTTACATGGAAAAATCCCTATTAAGTTGCATTATACTGGTTTACATGGAAAAATCCGTATTAGGTTGCATTATACTGGTTTACATGAAAAAAACCCTATTAAGTTGCATTATACTGGTTTACAGGAAAAATCCCTATTAAGTTGCATTATACTGGTTTACATGGAAAAATCCCTATTAAGTTGCATTATACTGGTTTACATGGAAAAATCCCTATTAAGTTGCATTATACTGGTTTACATGGAAAAATCCCTATTAAGTTGCATTATACTGGTTTACATGGAAAAATCCCTATTAAGTTGCATTATACTGGTTTACATGGAAAAATCCCTATTAAGTTGCATTATACTGGTTTACATGGAAAAATCCGTATTAGGTTGCGTGATTACACTGAAGTCCTTGAAACTGTTGAAACCTTGAAACTGTTGAAACCTTGAAATTGTTGAAACCTTGAAACTGTGGAAACCTTGAAACTGTTGAAGTCCTTGAAACTGTTGAAGTCCTTGAAACTGTTGATGTCCTTGAAACTGCTGAAGTCCTTGAAACTGTAGAAATGTCTGAAAGAGCTGAAGTCCTATTAAAATGCATGGGCCTATTAAAATGCATTGCAGAATTCTCAATGCAAATTAATGGCAGAATTCCCAAGCCCGTAGAAAAAAACTGGAAAACTGCAGAACTCTAATTGATTGACTGCGGAACCTTCCGCAGTCAACCATTGGTTTTCACGTTCTTTATTCCGTCTTTTTCCTGATTTTTGACACGTTTCACAACTTTCACATTTTCAACAATTTCCACAAGTTATACATCAAAACGTTCCACATGTTTGGGAGATTATTGCTATTACTTTTGGGACTTCAACGATTTCCGGTTTTTCCGCAATCGGACAAAAATCGGTCGATTTTTCCCATTGACTTATAATGGGGCTTCCACAAATTCATAGTTTTCAGAATTTTCTTCAACATTTTCAGCATTTTCTGTAGTTTGTGCATGTTCAGCTTCCACAACTTGTGAGTTTTCAGAAAAAATTAGAGTTCTGCAGTTTTCCAGTTTTTTTCTACGGGCTTGGGAATTCTGCCATTAATTTGCATTGAGAATTCTGCAATGCATTTTAATAGGCCCATGCATTTTAATAGGACTTCAGCTCTTTCAGACATTTCTACAGTTTCAATGATTCAACAGTTTCAAGGATTCAACAGTTTCAATGATTCAACAGTTTCAAGGACTTCAGCAGTTTCAAGGACTTCAGCAGTTTCAAGGACTTCAGCAGTTTCAAGGACATCAACAGTTTCAAGGACTTCAGCAGTTTCAAGGTTTCACAGTTTCAAGGTTTCAAGGTTTCAACAGTTTCAAGGACTTCAACAGTTTCAAGGTTTCAACAGTTTCAAGGACTTCAGTGTAATCATGCAACCTAATAGGGATTTTTCCATGTAAACCAGTATAATGCAACTTAATAGGGATTTTTCCATGTAAACCAGTATAATGCAACTTAATAGGGATTTTTCCATGTAAACCAGTATAATGCAACTTAATAGGGTTTTTTTCATGTAAACCAGTATAATGCAACTTAATGGGGATTTTTCCATGTAAACCAGTATTATGCAACTTAATAGGGATTTTTCCATGTAAACCAGTATAATGCAACTTAATAGGGTTTTTTTCATGTAAACCAGTATAATGCAACTTAATAGGGTTTTTACATGTAAACCAGTATAATGGAACTTAATAGGGGTTTTTACATGTAAACCAGTATAATGCAACTTAATAGGGATTTTTCCATGTAAACCAGTATAATGCAACTTAATAGGGATTTTTCCATGTAAACCAGTATAATGCAACCTAATAGGTTGCATTATACCACCAGACCAAGACCCAAACAAAGACTCAGACCACCACCAGATAATGACCACAGACCAGGTTTCCTTAGTTACAGGAACCAAATTGTTTCAGCGGTGAGGGGATTTTTCAGTTTCAAGGACACTTTCAATACATTCAGTAGTTTCAAGGATTTCAACTGTTTAAGAATTTAACCAGTTTCAAGGATATCAGGAGGTTCAAGGATTTCAGGAGTTTCCACACTTTCAACAGTTTCCAGGTTTAAAAAAAGTTTCAAGGATTTCAGGAGTTTCAATGTTTCAACAGTTTCAAGGATTTCAGGAGTTTAAAGGTTTCAACAATTTCAAGGACTTCAGGAGTTTCAAATATCTATCAAGTATTTTAACAGTTTCAAGGCCTTTTAAAGGATTTCAAGGATTTTTTTTAGCAGATTTCCACATTAGATCTGTTCCGCAGTCAATCGCAATGGCTTCAGCCATTGCAAGTTTCTAGTTTTTTCTGAAAACTCACAAGTTGTGGAAGCTGAACATGCACAAACTGCAGAAAATGCTGAAAATGTTGAAGAAAATTCTGAAAACTATGAATTTGTGGAAGCCCCATTATAAGTCAATGGGAAAAATCGACCGATTTTTGTCCGATTGCGGAAAAACCGGAAATCGCTGAAGTCCCAAAAGTAATAGCAATAATCTCCCAAACATGTGGAACGTTTTGATGTATAACTTGTGGAAATTGTTGAAAATGTGAAAGCTGTGAAACGTGTCAAAAATCAGGAAAAAGACGGAATAAAGAACGTGAAAACCAATGGTTGACTGCGGAAGGTTCCCCAGTCAATCAATAAGTCCTTCAGGTCACAGCAGCAGGGGTGGAGTAGCCTCTGGGTGGAGCTGGACGGGTCACAGCAGCAGAGGTGGAGTAGCCTCTGGGTGGAGCAGGACGGGTCACAGCAGCAGAGGTGGAGTAGTCTCTGGGTGGAGCAGGACGGGTCACAGCAGCAGAGGTGGAGTAGCCTCTGGGTGGAGCTGGACGGGTCACAGCAGCAGAGGTGGAGTAGCCTCTGGGTGGAGCTGGACGGGTCACAGCAGCAGAGGTGGAGTAGCCTCTGGGTGGAGCTGGACGGGTCACAGCAGCAGAGGTGGAGTAGCCTCTGGGTGGAGCTGGACGGGTCACAGCAGCAGAGGTGGAGCAGCCGCTGGGTGGAGAAGGACAGGTCACATGTGGAGTAGCCGTTTGGTTCGGACCATTTTCTCTGCTCTAGTCCAAAGTAAAACGCTGAATGCTTCATTAGCATTGCTTCATTTTTCAAAAAGTCAGCATTCCTCCAGTGGAACTGATAGGTTCGGACCATGAATCCTCTCAGCTCTGGTCTGGACCAGTGCAAGACCATGAACACTGTACTGCAGCAACATCGCAAGAAAAATAAAAATTGTAAAGCACAAAACAACAACTGATTCAGAGCTACTTCGGACTTTCTGTCATTTATTATTTTTTCACTTATTAGCATGTTCAAAAGCCTCCTTCCTCTGGTGTTTAACATGCGAACTCAGCCCAAACAGGCTGTAGCCTTCCCGCCAAAGTGAATTACAATAGTGTTCCAAGTGTTTGATTCTCTGATCTGTTGTTGAGGAATTGACAACTTTTTCAAGGCCTCTGAGACAACTGCTGTTATGAATTAGGGCAATACACAGATTGTCTGACCACAATAACACCCTCAGGTGCGGGTCTGGGGGTCTGATGGACCGGCCAGACATGTGATTTATTGACAAGGTTTGGAATGCTCCTGTTCACCATAGACGTTCCACGTTCCAGTTCCTGAACAAGCAAATGTTCAGCAACTTGAATAATGGGTTTAATGAAAGCAATGTTAATCATCAGAAAACACAATGTGATGTCATCGCATAGACTGAGGGCGGGACCTGTGTTTGAATACAGAGCATGTGGACAGAAGGGGCGAGGGTTCATGTTGCTGTAAAACCTCTGAAGCACAAAGCCACAGCTCTTCATCCATTATTCACCATCAGTATCACCAGTGCGCATGCGCCCTGGGCCCCTCTGCACCGCAGCTGCCCCGAGGCACACTAACAAAGACGTGGCAGCCATCTTAGAGCTGTGAGTGAGCGAAAATCCACCGCCGAACCTTTGCCACAAAAACACTTTTCTACAAGATTCGTGCACAGGCAGATGAGAACATGCGCACGCTTCGGTTTGCGCCAGTTTGTGTGGAGAAAAGTGCGTTCGTAGCGGAGGAATATGATCTCCCTCCCGGGAGGTCCTGTCCTCCTCCCGGGGAAGAGGCTGACCACAGCCCTGGCCCAGGGAGGTCCGCAAATAATTACACACGCATTAAAGTATTCACGCATAGAACCGGTCCCGATCCCGTTGGTCCCGGGAGTACCTTGGGGTCCTGGGGATTCTCGGGTCTCAAACTTTTCATCAATGAAGTCAAACATGAACCATCTGCAGAGAATGGGCACATTCTCACCTCTGTCACGGTCCTGTCCCAGTGCTGGGGTGACTGGGTGACACGGGGGTGGGTGCTCTGTGGGTGCTCCTCTGGATGGGTGACACTCTCCTCTCGCCGCCTCTGATGCGTCTCTCCGCGTCGCTACCGCGTCTCACCGCGTCTTGCCGCAGCCGCTAGCATCACCCGCTAGCATTAGCTGATAGCTATAACTTTAGCTCGTCAAAGCCCTCCTCCGCTGAAACGCTACGTAGTCTACGTGGAGCGCGTTCAGAATCTGACCGCAGAAAAGTTTCACAAAGTGAAAAACACTCACGATAAAAGGCGAGAAGTATTCTATAACAGCATTAGCTCGCTAGCCAAAGCGGCTAATACTGTCCACTTCCGGTAGGATCACGCAAAGAAAACAGCACCCCTGCAGGTCCAGAGCAGGATCACACACAGCTCCCTAAATGTTTTCTTCACTGACAATCTGAAGAGATCTGGCTGGGAAACTGTTTTAAAACTCTAGCGATCTGTTGTGAAGGAAGAATAGTGATCTGCTTCCCACTGTAAAGCAAAGGAGTGGAAACATGTGGTGTTTGATCCGTATGACAGGATGTATGGGGCCATGTGTGCTGAGGTTGTGGGTGGCACGGTGGCTGAGTGGATAGCACTCCTGCTTGAACATGGCCTTTTTATAAATAGTTTGCATGTTCTCCCCGTGCCTGCGTAGGTTTCCTCCGGATGCTCCGGGTGCTCCGGTTTCTCCTACCATATGCACACTAGGTAAAATCCTCCAACTACGGTAGTCCTGACCAAGCTGAGCATCAACATCTGGTGATGGGTTCCCAGGCGCTGTACTACGGCGACCACTGTTCCTGACGTAAGCCTTAGCGGCATCAGGATGGGTCAGGTGCAGAGAATGAATTGCCCTAAGGGGATTAATAAAAAGCACCTTTACCCTTTGAGATGAGAGATGTACATTATTATCTCACAATGGAAAAATTCAGTAAACCTTTAGAAACCTTCTTCAATCAGTGACAGTCGACCTGGTCTTCATGACACTGATCCCAAACACCGCATCCAGGCAATGAAGAAGCGTCTAATGAAGCATCTCCAGGTACTGGACCTCAAGCTCCAGACCTAACTTTAATAGAACATCTGTAGGAGTAAGTGTAGATCTGCAAGGAAGAATGGGCCAAAACGACCCCTCATTAACAAACTAATATTAATATTAGTGACTGCCACCCCTCCCCGACCCAGAAGTGGATTAAGGGGTAGAAAATTGATGGATGGATATTACATACTATTGGGTTGAACTTTTGTTAATTACTTATTTTCTGTAGTATATCAATGTGATTACTTGCATTCATTTCTTTCAATATGTGAAGTGATGGTGATCATTCACATAAACATGTATAAAAATTACTTCAAAAAGTAAGATTACTGTAATTTATGAGTAAAAGTGACACCGCCCTCATGTGGACACAGCAGGTGAGCGCAGGGACATGTCTATCCCGCCCCTCTGTAAAAACTACACTCACACATAAAGCTTTGTATGAGTTCTGTGTAATTAACTTAAAATTAGAATAAAACATGACTGTTTCAATGATGCACATGTAAATCTTTCACAACAGCGACCAATGAAAACAGCAGTTTGATTGTAATGAACTAGGTCACTGAGTCAGACAGATGACACTGTTCACACTACATTACCCACGATGTGTGTGTGTTTGTGCATGTGTGTGTTTGTGCATGTGTGTGTTTGTGCTTGTGAGGGGGGGCTCACTCAGCAACAGTGATAAAAATAAGCACATTAATATTTCGCCCAGACTGAGTCAGCCTCAGCCATAAAGACCAGAATGAGTCATAACGAGGAGAACCAGGACAGGAGGATGATCTATTCTAACCTATCCTACTCTTCTCTGCCCTGATGCAGAGTGTTTCCACTGGGCCTATTTAACAATACCAGATCCTTCTTTAGTCCCTCTTGACCCTTGTTCTATCCAGACAGAGCTGGTACTAAAGTGTTGTAAATGACAATGATTGGCCAGAGTGAGCACCCAACTTTATCAAAACATGTATACAAATTGTGTCATTTAGTGCTGATTTGTTCTGCCAAAAATAGGAACTTGTGCCGCTATCATATTTAAAATATTTCACAAAGTGTTTATGAGTCCTGCACCCCACGATTAGTTTCTCCAAATCAACCCAGAATGGTCTAATTTTTTAGTACTCTCTCTGTTCTAATGTGTGCTGTTGAAATATATATTTGTGCTATTTTGGATTTGGCTATATATATAATCCAAAACACTATAACCTGATCTCACATATCATGTGTCGGTGCAATATCCTTAACTAATATCAGAATGTGCAAAAACCACATGTCACAGGAACTTTACTGAGTCACTGTGTCTCAGAGCCTCATGCTGCTAATGTACAGATGCAAACCTACTGCTGCTAATGTACAGATGTAAACATACTGCTGCTAATGTACAGATGCAAACCTACTGCTGCTAATGTACAGATGCAAACCTACTGCTGCTAATGTACAGATGCAAACCTACTGCTGCTAATGTACAGATGCAAACCTACTGCTGCTAATGTACAGATGCAAACCTACTGCTGCTAATGTACAGATGCAAACATACTGCTGCTAATGTACAGATGCAAACCTACTGCTGCTAATGTACAGATGCAAACCTACTGCTGCTAATGTACAGATATTGCTTGCACTAGAGTACACAGTACTTCATACTTGCCTCTTTATCAATATTTTTTGTAAAATGTAAAATTTTTATACTTTTTTATAATTATTATGTTCAAGATAGAGATGTTAAACTTGTTATTTGATGCTAGAGTTAGAGAGTTTGTTTTATTTCAATTAGCTATTGTTCACTTATCTTGTGCTGTGTGCTCCTCGTTCCTACTGTTCTGCAACTTGTGATGCAACACTGAAATTTCCCCACTGTGGGACGAATAAAGGATCTATTATTCTTAATCTAAAACATATAATGTGAAATATTCAATGATAGCGGCACTAATTCCAATTTCTCCAGCACAAATTCAGCACTAAAAATCACACAATTTTATACATGTTTTCAAAAAGTGAGGTGTAGAGAAGAGTGGAGTAGGGCCTAATAGGGCTGGTCAAAATGGGGCTTAGAAGGCAGAAATTCAGTAAATAAAGGACCAGGAGGAGGACCAAGAGGAAGTCCAAGAAAGGAGAACTATGAGGACCAGGAGCCTGAATGAAGCTTGAGGACCGTACTTTGGGAACCCTCCGTTGCTGTTATTACTCTCAATTTGGACATGTTTTATAATCTGTGTGTGGAGTGGACTGGCTGCACTGTGATTGGCCGGTCGTGTGAATGCTGCTCTGTGATTGGCTCTTCATGAATATTTAAACGCAGCATGTGTTTCATCATCAATAATTTAACTTAATATTTATTATTCAGAGAGAGAGAGAGTATAAATGCTTCCTTCCTCCTACTCCCTACCTCCTATAGCCTACCTCCTAGGGTAGGGGCCTCCTAACCCTTGTTCAGGGTGCAGTAATGATATTAGCGGTTGTCGGGCAGATGTTTATTTTTCCTGATGTTTATAAATGTACAAAAGCTTCACAGTGTTTTACCCACAATGCACCAGGGTAAGTGTGTTCACATATGCAACCTGGTTACCACAGCAACTTGCAAGTCTGTTGATTGCTGACTGGATCTGTGTGGTCCGAGTCTGCAGGGCTGGTGTGGCCTGAGCACATGTAAACACACTCAGTCATTGTGTTTGTCACATTAAAACAACATTTATCAATAGTGCAACTTTTACTTTGAAAGGACAGGGGACTGAGGATACGGGACGGGGACAGAGGACATGGAAAGAGGACACAGAAAAAACCTGAAGTTCATTTTGACAAAAAGCTGGAAGTTTCTTGTGTGATTGTTTCAAATGTATAAAAGTGTAATAAATATTGTGCTTGAAAAGACCTAAAGTCAGATCTGTGGCCACATGAAACCGGCTGGTCCCAGGGCAGCTGTGGCCACATGCGACCTGATGCTGGTCCCAGGGCAGCTGTGGCCAAATTACTCACATTTAACATTTACACATGACATTTTATATATCTCATAATACATATTAATACATAACATAATAAACTGTAACCGTTTAGCCCTGATGCCCTGCTCTAGGCCCAGACCTGCCCTGTGGCACAGTGTGGTCTGCGTCTGGTCAGGCCTGGCCTAGGACTTGTCTGGATTTGGCCTGAGGCTGGTCTGGTCTGGTTTGGTGTGGGTTTGGTCTGGTCTAGTCTGGGTCTGGATCTTGGGTAGGGCTGGTCTGGGGCTGGTCTGGGTCTGTTTTATTGCTTTTAATCAATTTGCACCTGATGCCCTGGCTCTGCAGCGTTCCATTAAACAAAATTGTACCACCACTGTACCAATAATGAAACCATCACAAAAATTACACACTACCCCCATTATAAACAAAGACCGCAGAAATTTGGTCCCGGAAGCTTCCTTCTGCTAATTATGCTAACAATGTGCTAACAATGCTTAAGATGTAAAAAATGCGTTTAGCTTCTAATAATGGTAAAGATGCTAACAGACAATGCTAAATGCTAACACAGTTTATCGCACAGTGAGTTGGCTGAATGCCAAGTGTTTACTGGCCAAATTAGCGCCGCAATAAAAACAAACGTTGCGATTGTCAAACGCACTTGATTCTGAATTTCAACATGACGCATCAGTTGGTCTGGCTAAGAGCAGCTACCCACTTTGCACAGAGGTAGAAATCGCAAATTATGTGAAAGCTGATGGTCAAACAGACTAGAAGTAGGTCAAAGATCTCTGTGTGGTTTCTTATATGAGCGTGGGAAGAGCACACTGTTACGACTGGTACAAATCTGGATTTTGATCCCTGCTCTGGCCTAAATCACGTTCACGGAGAGATCACGTTCTGGTCTCTCCTCTGGTCTCTGGTCCGGGCTCGTTTCCAGCTCTTGGTCCTCTCTCTGGTTTGGTTTTTGATCTTCTCTCTGGTCTGGTCTTGGGTCCAGATCTTGTTCTTCTCTCTGGTCTGGTCTCGGGTCCAGGTCTTGGTCTTCTCTCTGGCCTGGTCTTGGGTCCAGGTCATGGTCTCTGAAGGTCTTGCGCCTCTGCCTCCTCAGTGTTTGGCTCTGGAGCTCCTTCACCTCCTGTAAAACCTCCTGAGCCTGTTTCCATGAGCACAGCGCCTCCTGGAGGAGACGTTGAGCCTCTGCACGCTGCAGCTCCACAGCCAGCTCCTGGTTGAGGTCAGAGTCCGAGTCCTGGTCCTGAGGAGAGAGAAGTGCGTTACTGCCACAGTCTCAGTGTTTATGACAGACCTGTGGAGTAGTGCAGGGGTCAGTGAGGTACTGCAAGGGTCTAGGGGTACCGCAGGGGTCAGTACTGAGACACATTAAACCCCTTTATCCTCTTTGTTGACAACTGTAACCGAGGAAATACTAATAATAAACTGTCACTACATTGGAAAAAAATACATTTTTTTTTCTCTTTAATAGATTATAACAGTTCAGGAGTATAACAGTTTAGTCTAGTCTCAGCTGACCTCTGAGGCATTCCCAGTTGGCGGTCCTCCTGTGGTCACTCCCCAAAGCTTCTGACCGAAGCTGAGGCTGAATTTCACAGACTCCAACCTTTTTAAAGAGTCAGTGATTGACAGGTGAGCAGGCTTTGTCCTGAGAGACAGTCAGAGCAGCGTCTGCCACTCACATTGTGGTCATAGGCTTTGGGGAACAACCCAAAGGACCAGATGTATAAACTCACACTCTGACCTGATCTGGGTCCTGCTCCTGTTCCGGCTCCAGGTCCTGTTCCAGGTCTTGGTCTGGGTCGGACTCTTCCTCCAGGACTTCCTCTAAGTCCTGGTTTAGACCTTGTTCAAAGTCCTGGTCCGGTGCAGGTGTCTGCTGGTGTGGCTCTGGTCTCTGGAGTTGGACTGGACTGTTCTGGGTGGATTTTGGCGAGGATTGTGGACAGGTCTGAGCTCTGTGGGACCCACTACGGGTTTGGGGTCTTTGCGAGGTTCTGGATGGGTCTCTGGTCTTGGTCTGGGCTCGGGTCTTGGTCTGGTTCTTGGTCTTAGACTTAGACTTCTTGAGCTTGGTCTGACCAGAGTCTTTGGTCTTTCCTCGAGGAGATCCAGATCCCGCAGAACTGAAGGACCCAGATAAGGTCACGTTAGTTTGGTAAAACACGGGACACAAATACTAATGATATGCTAATGTTATGCTATGTTAGCTATATTAAGCTAACATTAACAACTCTTAACCCAAAGCAGAGGACTGAGAAGCAATGTAGAAGTGGGAGTGAGCCAGAGTTCGGCTGTCCAGAGGGAGTCCCCCAAGGTTCTATACTTGGGCCAGTATTATTTTCATTGTAATATAAATTAATGAATTTCCCTATGTTCTCAAAGGCCTCTTCTAGCTCACCTGGACTTGGTCTGGGACTTGGGGGAGTTCTTGTTGGTGGCTCGGTCTTTTTGGGCTTTGGTTTTCTGCAGCTCCTGAAGAAAACATGTCAGATACATCAATCTAGTGACGCAGGTTGACAAACATGCATCCACACTTGCTGGTTGACCCGCTGTTCACTGATCCTGGTTCTTGGATTAAACCCAGACTGTCTGGACCTGGTCTTGGTCTTGGTCTTGGTCTCACCTGTAGTCTCAGCTCCTCCAGCAGTTCTTGTGCTCGCTGCATCCTCTGGACGATCAGACTGGGGAGCTGCACGGGTGGCGTGTCTTCAGACGGACTGCGTCGAAGAGCGGAGCGCAACTCGGACCGGACCAGGACGGGTCTGTGGCAGGACACATTTTACTTTGAAGTAAGTAAAATTTATATGTATCGTGCCTTTCACATACCAGGATTACAAAGCACTTCACAATTAAAAACATACAAAGACAAACAGTACACATACACATACATATACAGTACACATACACACACATACAGAAGAAGCATCATGAACCCAGTACACAGAGGACCTATGACTTGAAATTGTCAACAGACTCTAACATGCGCAGAGACTGGGAAAGCTCATTACAAAGGCGAGAAGCAAACGCCTGGGATGATCTGTCTCCTCTGGTTTTAAAACAAATGCAGGAGACCATCAACAGGTTCTGACTGGAGGACCATTAACGGGTTCTGAGTTCTCCTGTTGGAGACATAAGGCTGGATCGACCATGAAGAGCCCTGAATGTCAACACCAGAATTTCACTTTCACTTCACAGACTGTGCTTCTGCCTCAGCTCCTCAGCGCCCCCTACAGCTTAGGACACAGCCCCTACAGGACTGCATGTAAGGACCGTGTTGAGTCAACCATGTGGAGCCAACCATGTGTGCGCCCCCTACAGCTCAGGACAGTCAAAACCTTGTAAATCTCACATGTGAATATTGCTCTGGCTGTTTTTCTGGTCTAGTCTAGGTCTAGGTCTAGGTCTGGGTCTGGGTCTGGGTCTGGGTCTGGGTCTGAGTCTGGGTCTCGGTTTTGGTCTCGGTTTTGGTCTCGGTCTTGGTCTTGAATTCACCTCAGCACTTCATCCAGAGACGCACAGCGGTTTCTCCCCTGAGCACTGAGCTTCTTGCCCAGCTGAGGAGTCCGGGACTGGCCTTTAAAGACCTGCAACCAGAGGGGATGAGGACTGTGTGGAATCAACCATGTGAGGGTTGCGTGGAATCAGTATGCAAACCGTGTGGAGTTAACTATGTGAGGACCATGTGGACCGTGAGGAGTCAGCATGAGGACCATGTTGAGTCATGATGTACCTGTAGGTTCCTGGTCTTAGGCCCCCTGATCTCCCTTGTCTCCGTCCCTCGGCCCCAGTTCCTCTCGCTGGTCCGGGGCAGGGATCCGGTGTTCACACTTGTGTCTCGTATTGATGGTTTGAGTTTGGACACGTCGGTCCCCGCCCTCTGTCGCACCCCCACCACCCTGCAGTCTACGGCTCCGCTCCCAAACACGGCTCCGCCCCACAGCTCCTCCTCCGCCAGGTCAAAGGTCAGAGCACCATGAGATGAGGAGCTCTGAGGAAACAGGAGACATAGAGACTAGAGTCAGAGGCACGAGACGGAGACTCGAGTCAGAGTATCACTGTTCTGTGAGGGCCTCAGTGAGGTCAGAGGTCAGGGAGGAAGTCTAAGGAGCACAGAGAGCAGAGAGGTCAAAGTTAAGTTATACAAACATGTCCCAAACTTTGAACATCTCCCATTATTCAGAAATGGAAAGTGTATGGACCACTGCAAATTTACCAAAACATGACCTCACATCAAAACTCACAAGAAAAAGAAGAGATCTAATCCGATAAAGACAAGCTGCCCATTGTTTCATGATTAGCTGTCAACATCCACAGTTCATCTGAGGGGCTCCTCTGTACATGGAGCAAATATGAATCGTACTGTCCACAAATCTGGTCCTTATGAATGAGAAGTAGAAGAAGTGCTGAGAGAAAGAAAATCCTGTTTGTGAGGGAGGGAGTAACATGAGGATGGGAGAAACATCCTGATGTAGTTTGATGTGGGGCTGCTTTTCTTCCTCAGGGACAGTGAAGAGTGTCAGAGCTGATGTTGCTGGATGTCTTCTTCAGGACACTGAACCTGAATCATTATGTATTTGAAGGGAGTGAACTCTGGAGCAAGACACGTTCAGTTGCTGCTTTTGTACAGAATCGTATTGTTTTCAAGAAAGAGAGAGAGAGGTACATGATTTGAAAAAAACGACCCAAGCTCCCTCTTCTTCCTTTCTGAATGGTCTTGAAGCCGCGCCTACTTTTCCGTGCACGCGCCAGGTCAATGGGCCAAGACGTGCGAAGGAGAGGTTATTTATTTAAATATTTAACTTTAATTTATTATACAGTTTCTCACAGCAGCAGTAGAACTCTCCATTGATTTGAATATAATTTCAAAACGTTCTACTGATCATCATTTCTTAATAACGGACCTCTCAAACCAATAATGACCGCTGCCCTTGGCACTCTGTCGTTGTACTTCAGGTGTGTAAAATACTAAGATTACTCCGGACAGTAGTTCGTACACTTTGTCACAACGGGCTTTCAGCGCCTGTCACTTATTACTTCTGTCTGAGCGAGAGAAGCTATCAAAGCTAGCCACGCTCAAAAACACAAATATCAATCAATCAGCACATTTAAATGTTAATCGGAGAATACATTATACATTATATCTTAATACACGTGCATGGAGGTTTTCAGAATCTGTTTGCTTTTTCATGACAAAAATACTGTTGTAATGCGTCAACAACATAGACTGTAAATAGTCAAAAAGCTATATATATATATATATATATATATATATATATGCATATATAACTATACATATATATATATATGTATATATATGCATATATAACTATACATACATATATATATATATATATATATATATATATATATATATAGATATATATATACATATATATATATATATATATATATAAACAGGGGCGACAGTAGCTCAGTTGGTAGAGCATTGGCCTTCAGGCCTGAAGGTTGTGGGTTCAATTCCCACCTCCACACCTTCTCCACCGACTCCCACTGATGACTGCTGTCGTTGTGTCCTTGGGCAAGACACTTAACCCCACTTTGCCCAAAGCCCCCACTGAAAGATCAAGGCTAAACTCAGAGAGCAGCCGTCCTCCTGTGGACTCACCACCTGCAGAGGGTCAGTGAGGGGCTGGTGCTATGAGACTTGGGTGGCATCTCTGACTGCCACCCCCCTGACCCAGAAATGGATTAATGGGTAGAAAATGGATGGATGGATGGATGGATATTTGTATTTCATTTAGAGTTCCAGACTATCGCTTCAAACGTTCAGATGGTGTCAGGTGCAGTACGTACCACGGCCAACAAGTGTCCTCGTGAGGGAAGTCTTCGGCCCAAAGGAACTCTCACACGCTCTTTGGTCATGTGAAGAAGAGTCCCATCGAACAGCTCCACCTGCACGACAGAGGACACATTCACTGGGGTTCCTCAATGGCCGGCCCACTGTAAAGGCCGTAGGCTGGGTCATATCTGGTCTAGAGTGGGGTCTCTCTGGCCGGGGTCACCTGGTCTAGAGTAGGGTCCGTAGTCCGGGTCATACCTGGTCTAGAGAAGGGTTCATAGGCCGGGTCCTACCTGGTCCAGAGTAGGGTCCGTAGGCCGGGTCATACCTGGTCTAGAGTAGGGTCCGTAGGCCGGGTCATACCTGGTCTAGAGTAGGGTCCGTAGGCCGGGTCTTGGCTCGGCTGATGGCCCCGGTCAGGACTTGGATCCAAGACTCTTTCTCCTCAGGACTCAGAGCCACAAACACCAGACTGTGGACCTGAAACACATCCACAGTAGCAGTAGCAGCAGCAGTACCCATATGGAAAAGTTGCACATAAAACATATAAAAAATTCACCTTTTATAGTAGTCAGCTGCAAATATGAATATGAAAAATTCTAACCAAAGGTTTTTCAGTGGTTTACAGTAGTATCAGATGTACTTAAAAACATATTACAAGTTTACCAAAGTTTGACTCCAAGAAAGGATTCATTTTCAAAATGGCGGCCATCAGGTCCTTAAAATGACCATTACTCCTTTGTATTTCTCCTAGACCAGAAATACTGGTGTCTGATACCTGTTTTGGTCAAATAATATTCTAATTAGTATATTTGCATGAAAAATAAGTTATTAAAAGTACAATTATATATTAAAGCAATTGGTTATAAGCATATGTATGCGAAAAAGAAGTACAATTTCCCTTAAGTAATCCCATATTTATCTTTTATCATATCGTTTTTCCTAGTGTTGGTGGTTTCTGTGGTTCATAACCATTATTTGGATTCCAATGAAGAATAAATTCATTAGAACTGTGAGGTACTGTAAAATTAGTCAAAACAGGGCTGCGGCGTGAAGGCTCAGCACCGCTAACCCCTTGTGTTTTTTTGTGTTTTTTTTATTTTTATATATTTTGAAAATTTTATAATATGTTCTGGTTTGTTTTTTGCCTTTTGTTTTTTATATATATATTTTTTCTTATTTATATCTTTTTCTATTTTCTTCAGTTGTTTCTTCTTATTCAAAGAGCATGTGGAAGGAGCCCGAGCTCGTGGGGGCGGTGGAGAGATACCGACTAGAGATAGTCGGCCTCACCTCCACACACAGCTTGGGCTCTGGAACCCAACTCCTTGAGAGGGGTTGGACGCTCCACTTTGCTGGTGTTTCTCGCGGGAAGAGGCGGCGAGCTGGGGTGGCCACACTCATTGCCCCCCATCTCAGCTCCACGTGTTGGAGTTCTCCCCGGTGAATGAGAGGGTCGCGTCCCTCCGCCTCCGGGTGGGGGACAAGTCTCTCACTGTTGTGACGGCCTACGGGCCTAACAGCAGTGCAGAGTACTCGGCCTTCTTGGAGTCCTTGGGAGGGGTACTGGACGGTGCACTGACAGGGGACTCCATTATTCTCCTGGGGGACTTCACCGCCCATGTGGAAAATGCCGGGGATACTTGGAGAGGGGTGATCGGGAAGAACGGCCCCCCTGATCTGAACCCGAGCGGTGTTCAGTTATTGGACTTCTGTGCCAGTCACAGTTTGTCCATCACAAACACCATGTTCGAGCACAAGGGTGTCCACCAGTGCACGTGGCACCAAGACACCCTAGGCCGGAGGTCGATGATCGACTTTGTTGTTGTATTATCTGACCTCGGGTGAAGAGAGGGGCGTAGCTGTCAACTGATCACTCCCTGGTCGTGAGTTGGATCCGCTGGCAGGGGAAGAAGCCGGTCAGACCTGGCAGACCCAAGCGTATAGTGAGGGTCTGCTGGGAACGGCTCGCTGAGCCCCCTGTCAGATGGATTTTCAACTCGCACCTCCGGGAGAGCTTCTCCCAGGTCCCGGCGGAGGAGGGGGACATTGAGTCCGAGTGGACCATGTTCTCTTCCTCTATCACCGATGCGGCGGCTTATAGCTGTGGTCGCAAGGTCTCTGGTGCTGGTCCCGGCGGCAACCCCCGAACCCGGTGGTGGACACCAGCAGTAAGGGATGCCGTCAGGCTAAAGAAAGAGTCCTATCGAGCCATCATGGTTCGTGGGACACCTGTGGGCAGCTGTCCAGTACCGCCGTAGTTATCTGCAGTTCATCCAGAGCGATCATGGGCCTCTTGGCTACATCTCTGATCAGTTTAGTTATTTATTTGAAAGGACAACGGACAGGTACATTAAAAAGATGGCTGCCCCAGATTTAGCACAATGCTAATTTCCATCTGTAGTCCTTATACAATCAAAAATACATAGCAGAGTTAATTAAAATACAAAACATAGACAATAAACATGCAATATATAGTAAAAGTGCAGATGAAAAGTGCCAGTTGCATTCATAAAGTGCAGAATGACAAAGTGCAACAGTTTTCATAATAATTTTGTAGCTATACATAATTAGCACATAGATACAATAGTTTTTAACACTAATAATGTGGTGATGTGGTGGCCATCAGACGATACCCGCGAGGGTAACACCTGATGGCCAAGTACCCATCTGGTCCTTTTAGTGCGAGCAGGACTGTTGATCTAAAAGCCAGTCTTTAACTGCCCGTGAAAACTAAAGTCTTCTCCTTGTTTGAGATGAAAGTTTGGAGGGAGGGCGGGTCTTGGTAGATTTGCAGTGGTCTGATACTCCTTCCATTTCGATATAATTGCTTGCACAGTGCTCCTTGAGATGTTTAAAGCTTGGGAAATCTTTTTGTATCCAAATCCGACTTTAAACTTCTCCACAACAGTATCTCGGACCTGCCTGGTGTGTTCCTTTGTCTTCATGGTTCTCTCTGCGCTTTAAACAGAACCCTGAGACTATCAAAGAGCAGGTGCATTTATACGGAGACTTGATTACACACAGGTGCATTCTATTTATCATCATCAGTCATTTAGGACAACATTGGATCATTCAAAGATCCTCACTGAACTTCTGGAGTGAGTTTGCTGCACTGAAAGTAAAGGGGCCGAATAATATTGCACGCCCCACTTTTCAGTTTTTTATTTGTTAAAAAAGTTTAAATTATCCAATAAATTTCGTTCCACTTCACGATTGTGTCCCACTTGTTGTTGATTCATGACAAAAAATTAAAATTTTATATCTTTATGTTTGAAGACTGAAATGTGGCAAAATGTTGAAAGGTTCAAGGGGGCTGAATACTTTCGCAAGGCACTGTAAATCTTGTCTGTTTTGGAGTCAAAAGGCTCTCATCCTGTGCTGTGTACGGTTGTTGTAACAGTCTTAATTGGGAGGGGGATACTCAATTCTAAGGGAGTACTAAAAAATATTTCTCAAAAGAGTCTTGATTTTGGGCATTATTGACCGAAATAAGTCTTGGGTCTCATTGACTTTTTGATTCAAGAGGGAAAAACTGAATTATGTGCAAAATGTCAAACATTTTGAAAAAACTGTGATTATCTCCTGTGACATAGTCTGTAGGGGGCGCTAATGGGCCAATTTCAATTATTTCACTTTCAAATGACCTAGACCCTGGAGTTGAACAATGGATTCAAATTTTGTGCAAATCGGACTTTGTATGGGCAAACGGGAGCAAATTTGCTACTGTCAAAAATTGAAACAAAAGTCACATTTTGCCGCTCCGCTGCTCAAACAACGTTTCTGATCAACTGATCAAAATTCAACGAACCACTATTGATTATACATGTGTGTAGACGATGTCAAGCAATTTTGAGGAAAACCGGTGAAACGGCAGAGGAGGAGTGGAATTCCATGTGTGAAAATGATAAATTATAATTTTTCCATTTTCCAATGAAATGTATGGGCTTCCTGTTTGTCAGGGGGCGTGGCCCATAGTAAAAAAAAATGGAGCTTTCGCGAAAGTTCACCATGGTAGACCCGGCTGCTGCTGCCCAGGCCACAGGCTGCTCTTCCTCGACTCATCAATACCAGCAACGCCCACATCCAGTCAACCAATTGAGAATGAGGAGTCACGTGCCGAGTTGGGGTGATTTGGGGGGGGCTCTGAGCCTGTCGGACATATTGGCTGCGCAACGGGGGCACGCCCCCAGAATTTCACGCGCTCCTCATATTCCAGAGCACTTTAAATTATACGCATTTACGTTTTCGGCGAGACAGAGACGGATCTACTGATACAACAAGGGAAAGGAAGACAGTAAAACAATGCTTAGAGATAAGGCGAAAGAGAAGGGACCGTACAGGAACAAGCTCATACCAAGCGCAAAACAGAGGTATTTGGAGAAGCTTGCGGACATCAAAAACATCGACCCATACGAGCTCCCTACAGCGGAATGGCACAGAAACCTGGACCATTTACCTCCGTGCACATACATGGACATAGTAAACTACCTTGTATTTGGTGTAAGTTACTACACGATGCAGGAGTTTAAAAGCCACAAGTCTTTGGAAAGTTACGAGACTTTCTGCTGTGGCTGGGTGCAGGACTTGGTCATCTACAAGCCTCCAGCTGGTGACAACAGCGTTGTACTGGCAAAAGTAAGTTTCTTCACATATGCCTTTTAGTGTGTTGTAATTACATTGCATACATGGTCACCAGGTCAACTTCATATCTGCAGCAGCCACACGCAGATCTCTGGACAGACAAATTGATGGTGACACCGACAATAGTCCAGTGCAGAGAACACGAATGGCCAAAACAGCACCACCACCATCACCGACACAAGACAAGCCGGCAATTTTCTACCGGCAAATCAGCATGACAGGCACAGGATCTGCCATTTTGACAGTGCTCCCTGACTACTGTGAGCAGTTCAAGGATCCTGTTCTTCCCATTCGGAGCCTACAGTCTCTGGTAAATGGAACTGGCCTTAATCGGGGTGACCTACCTGCGCTGCAACGGCACTGTCAGAACATAAAGACTGTAGCTGATGTGTCTGAGGAACAGGCAGTGCAGATGGAGAGACGGACAAGGGGACAGCACACGTCATCCCTTTGGTTTGCTGCACGGGCAGGGAGAGTCACGGCCTCCTCGATGCATAGCGTGTATGGAACAGACCTTAGTTCTCCAGCACTGTCCATCGTTAGGAGGGTGTGTTATCCAGCTCGTGGGCCAGGAACAGCTGCCACCAGTTGGGGAATTAGACAAGAGGACACGGCGAGGCAGGCATACAGTGTCCAAACTGCCCCCCTGCACACCAATCACCAAGTGCTAACCTGTGGCTTTTTTGTCAACCCGGCCTTCCCACAGGTAGGAGCCTCACCAGATGCCATCGTGAGCTGCATCTGTTGTGGGAAAGGCTGCTTGGAGGTAAAATGCCCAGCTAAATACAAGAACTGCACTATCCTCCAAGCCTGCTCCTCGGATGACCGCAACTTCT